CGGCCCGGCCCTTCCTTTAAGTTAAAAAAGAAGCGGCACAGCCTCTCCACGGGATATTAGCAAAGAAGATAAGAACGTCGAGGCAAAATTTTAAAGTGATTGAATGGTCCTCGGAGTCCTTTGCGGGTTGAGGCGAGCCTCGCCTCACTCACATCGCTTAGTGGCCGAGAAAACGTCCTGCTTGAATGCAGATGTGGTTGGAACAAGACCCTTGTTCTTCCTCTCGTCCTCAGATGGCTGTCCACACGTGGTATTTCCTTTCATTTTCCTCCCAAAGTGGAAGTTTGTGCAAAAATAATCAATGAACGAAAATCAGCAAAAAAATTTAAGGGGTGAGTTGTTCCCATGCCTGTCTCTAATTAGATCCTTTTATTTTCTGTTCCTATGCAGTCATACTGTACTTTTATTCCTCTTAAAAAAAATATGACATTTAATTATCCTTGAATAATCTCGTGGATTTCAATATACTAGAGACATTTTGAAAAAACCAGCATCTATCTTGGATTGGTCATTATGAGTCTTGTTCCATTTTAGATTGATGCTCTAAACTTCCCAGAATTGAAAAATAGCGAGAGAAAAAAACTTAGCTAGAAAGATATTTTGCTAATATATTATGTTTAGAGAAATAATAATGATAATAGATATAATAATCTGTTTTGCAAGACTGACTGCATGTACAGATAGAGAAACACACGTTCTCTTGAATTTCTTCATCTTTTTTTTCTGTACTCTAAACTTCTTTATGTGCTCTTTCTTCTAATGAATATTCCTTGGGTGGATTTATCTTGTAAGGATAAGCTCTTTGTCATTCAAGTCTGGCATGTGCTTTGTGGAAAAACCAGGCCAAGTGGAAGCAGAACAGAAGAAGATAATGCTCATAGCTTCTTTTGTGTTGTTCATTTTTATGTGATTTTAAGTTGCACAGGTATGACATCATGGAAGGCCATGAATAAGAATACCTGTTTTCTTCTGGTACTAAGAAGGGGTACAATCATGGGCAAATCATTTTAGCCCTAAGCTTCTGGTTTTCCTTTTTTTTTCAACCTATCAAGTGAACACATACCCAGTAACTGCCCCGGCACTGCCGAATGCCAATCACTGCTCATTCCTGAAGACTTGTGTCATGCCGTCTCACCTTTGTTCACCCTCTGTGCTTGTTGAACTCGATGCTTATATTTCCTAGAAAAGAGAAAAACTGAATTTTACCTCTCTGGCAGGGCATTCTGAGGACAAATCTTTTCTAGAATGTCAACGTATGTCGGGGGGACCCCCCAAAACCCGGAATTATCTTTTGTAGGGCTCCTGGTAGTACAGGCTTCCCTTGCTAGGTAAGTGTTTTAGGAATCCATCAGCATCAGTGTTACCAGCTAGCGCTGCTGTGAGAGGCTGCGTTTGGTTTCAGTTAAATTTTTTTGTAGATTCTTTGTAGTGTTTGCCCGGGTGGGACCGGGCTCGGTGGCTCAGCCTGTAATCCCAGCACTTTGGGAGGCCGAGGCGAGTAGATTGCCAGAGCCCACGGGTTCGAGACCCGCCCGGGCGACTTGGAGAGACCTCATCTCTACAAGAAATCAAAAATTAGCCAGGTGTGGTAGTGGGTGCCTATAGTTCTGGCTACTTGGAAGCTGAGGCCGAAGGATCGCCGGAGCCCAGCAGGTCGAGGCTGTCGTGGCCGGGAGTGTGCCACTGCACTCCAGTTGGGGTGACGGAGTGAGACTCCAATGCAAGGAAAAAAGAAAAAATGATGGGTGATTTACGAGCTCATCTACCCACACCGTGCTGACTGTTCAGCAGTTTTTGACCAAAAACGGTATGGCCTCCACGCCCCACCCTTCCTGTTCACTCAATCTTGCCCCAAGCCTGGATGAGAAAAGTCATCAAAGGGAAACCTTTAGCCGATGCGGAAGAGGTGAGACAGAAAATGGCAGAAACGCTAAAAGACATCAAAACTGACAAGTTCAAAAAGAGTTTTTTTTTTTGAGTCGCAGTCTCACTCGGTCGCCCAGACTGGAGTGCAGCGGCCGCTCCCGGCCACCGCAGCCTCGACCCGCTGGGCTCCGGCGATCCTTCCGCCTCAGCCTCCCGAGTCGCTGGAATTACAGGTGTGCGCTACCACGCCCGGCTGATTTTTTGATTTGATTGTAGAGATGAGGTCTCGCCTGCCCAGTTTTGAGCAGTGGAAAAAGCATGTCGATAGGGTATATTGCATCAAAAGGAGAGTACTTTGAAGGGGACTGAAGTTTAAACATGTAAGAATAAATACGTGACCTTTTATAAATAAATTCAGTTTGGGGAGAATTCCCTTTATCCATCAAGGATAAATTTTGAGTGAACTTAAACATCAC